AAAGTGAAGCCCTGGGTGGTGGTGGGCAGGGCAAGCTCTTCTACCCACAAAAACCTCATCTTTGATGGTTGACACTGAAAGACAGAGCAAGAGTTTGGAAATATCCTTCCTCCCCTGCCTCCCCTGCCACACTCTCAAATGCATTGAAAAAGGGGGCAGGTGGCTAAGTGAGGGACAGGAAGCCCTCCTTACTGGCAAGGGGGAAGAAAAGAGATGGCAAGAGGACCTCAATCTCACTCCATGCACCCCAATGAAAGGCAGTGGCAGCCCAGCCGCTTCCCTGCCCTGCCCTCTCTGGTGCTGGAAGCCAAGTGTCAGCCACATGCCCAATCACCCATACAGAAATCATCTGGGCTGTGGTGGCCATGTGGGAGGCTGTAGGGGCCATGTGGGAGGCTGTGGGGAAGGCAGGCAAATGGGCTGGGACATGTGGGAGGCTGCAGGGAAGGCAGGCAAGTGGGCTGGGCCCCAGGGAAGGCAGCGGGGAAGGCAAGTAAGCAGGTTGGGCGGTAGCTGGGCAAAAAGCGAAGGAAGACTCATCAGGCAGAGATCAGCTGGGTCGCATGGTTGAGGCAAGCTGTCAGAGTGCATACCATGTGACTAAGTGAGACAACCCAGGAGCAAATACAGCACACAGGTTTGTATTTACATATAATGGTTTTTATCCCTACAAAAGTATATACATACAAGTACTTTGATACAGGCCTTGAACAAACAGCAATCAATAATCAGCTACACCATGGAAGGACACATGGAGAGAGAGTTATGCCCTCACAGGATCTCTCATATAATATAGCCTCTTAAAGTGGTAGCAGTCAAATAACCCTATTGACTCATTGCTACCATTGCATCATCATTACATCATTACACTATTACAGCATTACAACTTTACAATAGCTGGTCAGCTATTAAATCATCATTACTCTGACACAAGCAAGGGAACCAGAGATCAGCAGCAATTATACCATGGGCGTGACTCTAGATGACTGTCCTAGGAGTACAAGGTAAGATGGGGTGGGGCAGGGTGGGGTGGGGTGGGGTGAGGTGGGGCAAGTGGGGCCAACCAGTGGTGCACTTAGCTGGTTCTACACCATTGACTGGCCCCACCCACTGCACAAAATCTTAACAACTGGTTTGCTCAAACCAGTCTGAATCAGCTGAATCCCACCTTTGTATTACATATACATGTACATATATATCTAAAGCTGACAATGGGGTGAGCTCCCATTCCTGTCCCAGCTCCTGCCCATCTAGCAATTTGAAAGTATGCAAGTAGATTAATAGCTATCACTTTGATGGGAAGGTAACAATGTTCTGTGTGGCATTATAGCATGGCTATAGCATGGCTACAGCCATGCTATAATGCCAATGATCACAAAAAATGTCTTCGGACAGGCTCCCTCAGCCAAGAAACATAGATGAGTACTATACCTACAGTCAGACATGACTGGACAGGAAAACTTTTACCTTTACCCATATTTTTGCATGCAACTTATGTGATCATTTCGTATACTACTGTAATTCTACATAGAAATATCAACAGTAGAATGTGGGTTTTTTAAATAAAAACATTCAGAATGCTAAGGATTCATACTTTATTGAAGTTTATAGGATGACTCCCTTTCCATGTCATAGTTATGAATCAGGCAGATAAATTCTGTATCTTTTGTACAAATCACCATGTTACACAAGGGAGCACGCTAATTTGCACATGTGAGTATCACAGTTCTTCAGAGAACTCTTTAGCAGCTTTTCAATCACCATGTTTCTAGGTTCTATCATATCACAAGACCTAAAATGGACATCTAATATCAAAAACGTCATCAAAAAAGCACAACAAAGAATGTTCTTTCTGCACCAACTCAAAAAGTTCAAACTGCCCAAGGAGCTGCTGATAACAGTTCTACAGAGGAATTTTCAAGTCTGTCATCTGCACCTCTATAACTGTCTGGTTTGGATCTACAACCAACAAGACAGACACAGATTTCAGAGAGAAAGTAGGACTGCAGAAAAAACAATTACTACCAACCTGCCTTCAATCAAGGACTATATACTGCACGAATCAAAAAGAGGGCTGTGAAAATATTTACAGACTCTTCACATCCTGGACATAAACTGTTTCAACTTCTACCCTAAAAACGATGCTATAGAACACTACACTTCCGGTTTGTCGGCTTCGCGAGCGGCAGGGATTTGCGAAGCTGCGCGATCCCTGCCGCGCTAGCCGTTTTTGGGGCTCCGACCCAGCCGGGTACGGAGCTAGGCTGCCCTGCAGGGGCAGCTGAAGGTAGGGGGGATCCAGAGAAGGGTTTGGGGGTGCTGCAGACTCCCTCCCTGGCCGGCAGAACTCCCTTTTCCCAGGACGGTGCAGCGGCGGTCTGTAATGGCCGCCACAAAGAAGCTGGCAGCCGGGTAAGAATGCGCAGGAGGAAGTGGAGAAAGTGATTGAGAGGAGAAAGTTTTTCTTGGCTCCTAGGACTCTAAGACATATCTAATAAAATTCCTGAAAAGTATGACTTTCTGAATAATACCTGCCAGAAGAGGAAAAAAGCGGCTGTTTGAAGGTGCTGAAAGGATAGCTTTCCCTCTTTTCCTACGGAATAAATAACTGGATATTAAGAAACCTATTTCTTTTAGGTGAAAATTGGTTTTAAGCGATGAGTGGGAAGAGAGAGGATTAAAAAGAAAACATTTGTATGCTAAGACTTTGTTGGAGCAGATGCCTTAAGGATTTGAAGACTAGAATATATTGCAATAAGATTTTAAACAGATTTGGACTTTCTTTCTCTTGGATTGATATTACCCCAGAAGGAGAAAGTGAGAACTCTGCCTTGGTTTGGACTGACTGATAACTTTGGGACTGTTTTATTTTTTTTATTTTCTTTTGAATATTCTGGTTGTTGTAAGAAGAAAGAAGGGGAAAAGAAAAGAAAAGATTTATAATGGCTCTTTCTGTTGAGGAACTAAGAAAAGAATATGAACAAGCAAAAAAAATGGTAAAGATGGTGTGGAAGAAGCTTTCCTTTTCTTAGAAATGGCGCTTATTAATTATCAACAAACATTACAACAGATGAAGACAGCAGAGGAACAAGAAAGAAAGAAAGGAGCCATTTTTAATGAATCTCAGAACTTGATCCAGAAAGAAGGAAGAGAGAAAGAAAAGAAAAGAAGAGAAAAGAAGAAAATTAAAGGACTTAAGGACTTAAGATCTAAAAAAACATTTAAGAAAGGGAAAAATAAGGTGCAAAACCAATATGATGATAGTAAACAAAAGGGAAAAGGAATACGACAGAGAAGGGAAGCTGGCAAGGCAGAGGCTAGAAGAAGGGGGGGTAGAAAGGTTTGTTGGGAGAAGAAAGAAAGGGAAAAGGTGGAGAAAAGCTACAATGTTTTGAAATTAAATGAAAAAAAGAAATTTTTTTTGGATAATGGATAAAGTATAAATTTTTTTTAAAAAAAAAGATTTTGCAAGGTACATAAGATGAGATGGTAGTATTGTAATGATTTAAGAGTTGATAAGAGATTAAAATGTTTAAATGTTTAAAAATGATTGGCTTTAAAACCTAATAATAGGGGAGGTTTAGAATATTGTTTTAATTAAAGAGTTTAATAAGACTATGGTACTGATGTTATTATAAAATTTTTATTATAGTATCTTTTTTTAATATTTGGATTTATTGTCTAATTATGTACTTAATTATGTTGGATGTATTAGTTAGATAGAATGTACCAAGCAAAATTGGATTGGGTATTAGATATTATTTTAAAGATTAATTTGATTAACTTAGGGGGGGAGATAGAAAGGCATCATACTCTGATTAATGATTTCAGGAGAAACTTATTTTCTTTTTTTTTATAAGGAATGAGACAAAGGGATGATAAAAAATGGACAAAAGATATAAATATAATGATTCAAATTAAGATGATTAATTAAGATAGAAGTAAGAAGTGTGAAATATGTGGGGAAGTTAATATAGAAGGCTTAGAATGGTAAATAAAATAAGTAATGATATGTAAGATGAGCATGAATATAATTGAAGTCCATGAAGAGAGAGATACCTGGGTCCAAGTTACTTTCCAAAAAGATTTTTTTTTATGTTTTGTGTGTTGTGTGTATATGTCTTTTTGGGGGGAGAATTAGTTAAAAATTGTAGAAATATAGATTGAGAATAATGGTAACTAAGTCAGAAAGAAACAGATGAAATAATAATAATGATATTGAATAAGAGTAAAGAGAAGTAAAGAGAAATTGAATAAGAGGTTTTGGTATGTTGTATGGAAATGGTTTAAAACAGAATTATAATTTATCTGACTTGTTAAATTGACAATGAAAAAAGGTTTAAACATGTAATGAATAATGACAATTTGTGTGTTTTAAAAATTAATAAAACTTGTTTAAAAAAAAAAAAAAGAACACTACACACCAGAACAACTAGACACAAGGACAGTTTTTCTATGAATGCCATCACTCTGCTAAACATAAAATTCCCTCAGCACTGTCCAACTATTTACAAAATCTGCATTACCATTTCTGTTAATCTTCTCATCATTCTTTATCACCCATTCCCTCCCACTTGTGACTGTATGACTGTTCTGACCCAGTTGAAGTCCCCAAGCAAAAACAAAGATAAACTCCAAAACTGAAACATTCACGGCTTTATTCCACAAAACCTCTTTGTAGTTACCAGATGGCTTGCAGCCAAGTAATCCAATTAGAAAAACCTTCAAATAAATCAAAGTCTGTTATCATCACACTTAACCCTTTGAACACTTTTTGCCTTCTGCAAAGGCAATAACCATGTGCAACAAGGCTTATATTCCCTAGAGGGAGGGGCCATTACATCGTCTCCTTACTCCTGAGTCATCTATGCAGCTTCAGCTGTTCCCTCCTATGAAGCATCCTGCGCTCACATGCACTAAGCACAGGTTCTTCTGAAACCTCCTCATCACTGCTGCCAGCCCCCACCATTTCTGAAGACAGCAGTCCACTCCCTGATGGTCCCAGCCCCTCCTCCCAATCCTCGCTGTCCTCCACCATCTGCACCTGCTGCCGGCTAACCATAACAATGACTGAAACATGTCGCTTGTATCCTTACAATATATATTGACTGTTTCCTAGTATGATTTGATTGCTTATTGTACCCTATGACTATTATTAAGTGTTGTACCTTATGATTCTTGACTCTTGATGAATGTATCTTTTCTTTTATGTACATTGAGAGCATATGCACCAAGACAAATTCCTTCCATTATTGGACAATCACACTTGTCCAATAAAGAATTCTAATTCTAATTCTAATGTGATCTGAAGATATATCAGAAAAATAGCTAACTTCTGGGAATGTCTAAGAAATTGCTGAATGAATTAATTTTAAAAAGTCTGGGATGCTCCATGGCAACATACTTTTGAATCTGTAAAAAAACCATATAAATTTAATTAGAAATTTAATTTGGTGTGCACCTTTGGTAATGCATCACTCCTTCACTGGTCGCTCCCATAGTTTCACTGTGGCCAATGTATGTTTGCTGAACATTTTTATATGTCACAAATGAAGGAATGCTTATATGGCTATATGCACCATTTGCCTTGATAGTGAAATATCTTGAGTCTGTTTTGAGCAGACCTTAAATCAGACCGGCATTCATGCATTTGCTTAAATATGACCACAATAACTGTTTCTGGTTTTTTCTCAAACCCCTCTGTTTTTCCAATATTGATATTCAAATTCTGTGATAAAAGACTTATCTATGAGTGTGAGACGCTGCAGGCAATATTTGATCCAGCAATATGTTTTTATTTTAATTATTGCTATCTTGTCTTGAATGGTTGTAGCAATTCTTTCAGAGAGAGAATGGATTTTTTATCCTATTTCTGACAATTCATGTAATGTTATCAATAGAGATTTTCGGACATTAATGATAGAAAATATTCAGTGCATAATTATGTTTGTTCTAGTGTTCTTGTGACTTTAATCCCTTGCTTTTTTCCTTGTCTTTGCTTATTTTCTAAACATGAATATAGCAACTGCATATAATTTTTAAAGTAGCCATACCTTTTCCCAAGATCAACTGGCAGCTGTGTAGAACCACTGCATGTTCCAAGGAAAAGATGTCATTATTTTGAAGAATTGCAGACAGGTCCTACTCCCTGCACACTAAAGTTCAAGTCCTGGTGAATCATTTCATCAACACAGCTGAGTATTTATTTATTTCTTGCAAAATAAATGTGAAAAGCCCATTTATTTTTATATCTCATTTGTCCCTTCTCTACCAGTAAAAGTCATAACACTGAGAATTAAAGCTACCAAAGCTGACACCATACAGGATATAGAAAAGCTCAAGGAAATAGTGCAAGATTAGAAGATTTGGAGAGACCTGACCTGTAAAATTGCCAAGAGTTGGGCTCGACTGAATGGATAACATAATCATCTCTGAAAATCAACTATTTTGCTGCCAAATTTCAGCTATGTGATCTCAAAGTTTTCTTGTGGTACAAATTAGCAGCTGGAGATTTGAACATGGACGATTGATTGCATTAATCCATAGTTTAATTCCAATGCCACTCTATAGTTAGTGTGAACTTATTAAATTGTTGCTTGATTTGGTCATGCATTCTGCCCATCCCCTTTCTTTCTGGCTGTGATATAAAATTTCAAAATAGCTTCCTGCAGGTTTGCCCAACCATAGTTTCTCATGCTACTGAAATTATCAGCCTCCTAAATATGAACTATAGGTTGTGCTGGTGATAGCAGACAAAAAAAAAGAGATTTTCAAATTTAAAAATGACAAATTATAATGAAAGATTTAAGAAAGGAATTGAATAAATCTACTCAACCTTGTGACTAGTATAGCAATAGGCTCAGAAGTTAAGGCTGGATTATAAAGTAGCTGCTGAATCACAGGTTTATGGTAAGGTTCTTCTCACACAACTGATCTGGAACACCTTATGGCAGCCAACCATAATCTTAAAATGTTTACATGTTTACTGGGTGTTATAAATAAATTATATATTCTACTTTGAAAAATAAAAGGCTTTTTGTGACAAGTACATTATGCTTTCAGATAAACTATGTTTATTTTCCTTATAATTAGTCAATAGATTTTATTTACATTATGCACTGTAAATTCCTATAAAATGAAACCGAAATATGCATTCTTTTGCCATAGCCTAACATATTCTTGTAAATACTCAACTTTTCTTTTCCTTGAACATTCAGACTTGATGAGCTTAGCAAACAGTAAATCAAGACTTCTCAGATGACTTGTATGTTTGTCATAAAAAAGAAAACTATTTCTTGCTTTTAGTTTTTTCACCTATCAGTGGATTTTTTTTCTTACCTTTTCTTTTCCTTACCCTTATTTTTCCTTCAAATAATTGGATTCCTGGCCAGTGATTTTGGATTCTTTGGAGTCTCCTATTACAGACTTATATTAAAGATTATATATTTTATGGCTCCAAGTGGCCTACATTGTCACAATACCTTGTCTTCAGCAAATGATTAATAACAAAATGTGCACATTGGTGCCCTTATTGCCTATATTTCATCAGCTATTGGGATGATAAAACATTATGAGCTCTTATTACTAACTAGAGGCAAATAAAATAATATATATATAGGATAGTGATATACTTCTCTAAGGGACAAATATATATATATATTTGTCCCTTAGAGAAGTATATCACTATCCTAACATGCTACACTGGATGCATGAATAAACTTAAAAAAGAAACACATTTCCAAATTAAAAAAAGAAAACTATTTGAGAAAACATAAATCTTTGTGTGCTATCTTTAATCATCTCATTACTTTTAGCAATCAAGGCCAGTATTGTTAGAGAAGTTGTATTAAATTCAAATAACTTCCTTTCTCCCAGTGTATATCTGTAACCCAGGAAATTATTTGCTACATTCCCCTGAATATACTATACATTTTCTGGGCACATTTTTATTATTTAAAAACTAATCAAATAAGTTTACCTTAATAATCCACTTGGGATAAACATTTCACATTCAATATGTATGTGTGTTGTGTTAAACTGAGGCTACCGGATTTGGGTTCAAAATTTGAGATTACTTTCTTTTTTGACTTGTTTGTTGTTGTGTAATAAAATCCTTTAAAAATCTTACCTTCTTTGTGTTCTTTAGAATGGACCAGGTAACCAGTATGACCCATTAAAAATAAACACTTAAAATCAGTCCTGAAGGGTGGTCTAAAGTGAATTCTGTCTGGTAATTTATTTATTTTATTTTTATTTATTTATTTATTTTGTCAAGCATGTGTTAGATGACAGAGATGTATAAACATGATTATTCATACATGAAATGGATACGAATAAAAGGGAACATTTGGACAGGGACAGTAGGCACGCTGGTGCACTTATGCACTTCTCTTACAAACCTCTTAGAAATGGGGTGAGGTCAACTGTAGACAGTCTAAGGTTAAAGTTGAGGGAAAAGATCCAGCCTATAGTATAAAATTTACTTTGGAGGTTCCTCTATATATCACACATGAGATGTTTGATTAGGAAGGGATTTTAGAACTTCCTGATCTCATCTTTGTTTCAACATTGGGCTAGAGGACTTTTTCTGTTTTGGTTCCATGCAGTTTTTCAAGGGTATTTCAACTCCCTTTATATTTAAATTAAAAACAAATGTCTTAATTTTTCAATATGCACAAATACTTTGGAGAGGCAAAATGGCAATCAACACTTTCTTTTACAAATTAATGACATTAATGAATTTATATATGCTGCCTGTTTGCCCTCTTGTTTATACAATCTAGGAATCACTAGCAATGTTCCTAATTTATCTCCTCCCTTCCAGGAACTTTTTCCTTCTATGGTTTTAAAGTATTATTTTGCCCTTTTATTGCTCTCACCTGGCATATTTTACTTATTTCTGTGCTAATCCCAGCACTGTAGTGGTTATTTTGTAGTGGTTATAGTTCTTGTTTCATATGCTTAGTGTGTCAGACTTCTTAAGAATACTTATGATTTATATTTTTTTTTTCTACAAAGAAATAAAAATATAATAGTAATAGGAACACAACCACTTATCCATTTAAGGCTTATCAACAAACACAAAAGTGGTTGATGATTATCACTTGGAAGATTAAAGTGAGAGGGTGCAACATGATGAAAAATTTCTATAGGAGAACACAATACTCTGTAGCCTGAACTCAATTCTTTTCAAGATGTTGCCAATCCAAAAATGATATTCTTAAGCTTGCTCAAAGTTTAAAGTGCCACTGGTATAGAACAGGAACAGCTTAAAACTGCAGCATGAATATGCTCAAAGAATATAAAATAACAATACTGCACTTTCATTTATTTATTTATTTATTTGTTTGTTTGTTTTATTTTGTCATGCGATTATAACAGGTATAAGTATAAGCATAGTTATGAATAAATGAAATGGATATGAATAAGAAAAAGAAAGAAAGAAACATTAGGACAGGGACGGTAGGCACATTGGTGAGCTTATGCATGCCCCCTACAGACCTCTTAGGAAAGGGATGAGGTCAATAGTAGACAGTCTAAGGTTAAAATTTTTGGGGTTTGGGGAAGAAACCACAGAGTCAGGTAGTTTATTTCAGGCATTGACCACTCTGTTGCTGAAGTTGTATTTCCTACAATCAAGTTTGGTGCGGTTTACCTTAAGTTTGTATCTATTGTGTGCACGTGTATTATTGTGGTAGAAGCTGAAGTAGTTTTAATTACCCAAGAGGCCAAGACAACATGAAATTTGCTATTGTTTAGTCTCCTGGCCCCATTGTGGCAATTTGTGTGTTACAGCAACAATGTGCAATCCAAGAAGGTTAGAAGGACACACTGCAAACAAATAAGGGACACAATTCTAAGAAAAATGTCTAAAAAGAAACTTGGGTAAAATTCATCCAGGAAATGAGTTGCTAAACATTTCAGTTCCAGTCCTGATATAATACAAGTAGTCCTTGACTTACAACAGTTTATTATGTAACCGTTTGAAGTTACAATGACCATTTATGACCATTTATCACATTTTATGTCTGTTGCAGCATTCCCATGGTCACGTGATTTACATTTGGATGCTTGGGAACTGACTCACATTTATGATAGTTGCAGTGTCCCAGAGTCATATGATCCCATTTTGTGACCTTCTTACAAGCAAAGTCAATGAGGAAACCAGATTCACTTAATAACTGTTTTACTAATTTAAGAACTGCAATGATTCGCTTAACAAAAGTGACAAGAAAAGTTATAAAATAGACAAACCTCACTTAACAAATTTCTCACTGTATAACATTAAATTTTGGGCTCAATTTGGACTGAATTGTCATAAATTGAGGATTACTGTACATCTGCTTTTCTAGTCTTAAAGAGAAAAAGGTGTCACATTATGCTTATGGCTTATGGTCTCATTTGGCCTCAAGCATCTTGTGTTGGGTTTCCAAATTCTGCTGCAACTGAGAAATCAGCACACCATATTTCTTTTACTTTTTTCTTTTTAATATATTTGTGTTGCTTATCTCACATCATATAGTTTATAGCCTTAAGCACATGCTGAGTAGGAAGTAAAAGCATTTTTCTTCCCATAAACATATTATTGCTTCTGGGTTTTTTTTCCTTCCAGAAAATCTATTGCCCTAATCCACAAAAACAGTGAGTTATGAGAGGCATTCTAATGTTATGAAGTAACTACTGAAAATTATAAAATGATCATCGCTAACTTGTTAAAGTTATAGGTATTGCTTTTCTAATCTTCTTCATATTACTGCATCTGAAATTAAAAAAATGATAGAAATTTAGTCTTTCTAAAGAGTTTCTTAGAATACTAATATACATATTTCATTCAGGTTGTTTTTATGAATATATATAAAAATTGCCAGGGTCATTTCAAATTAAGCAATATATCATATAATTCATATTCCATAAGTTTCAAGTAATACAATAATTATATAAGACAAATAATGCCATATAATTATTATATGTATTACTTGAAACTAATGGAATTATTTATATAAGCCCTTATTCCCCAAATAACAGAAATGCACAAGTAGAATTTGTTTATTATTTAAAAAAATTACAGTAGGCAATTCTGTAGGTATGAGTTAATTAAGTTTTCAATATCTGTGCTGCAAAAACATGAGCAACCATTGGAAAGCAGTAAAGATTTTATATCATTTTCTATTTCTATCTAGTGGTCATTTTGATTTTGCAGCCCAGAAACAGCTTACATGCTATTAATATTAAATACCAATCAATATCAGACAATCCTTGAAGAGAAAAAGCAGTTAAAATATATAGATATTGTAATTAAAATGAGTGAAATAAGTAGGAGGAAGAAGAATGCACTTGAGAAAAGATTGCATTTGGTTTTAATTTTAGCGCTCATGCTCTCTCTTTTGGTGTTTAAAACGAAACATGGATTTCATGGCAGGTAATATTTAAATATGAAGATTTCATATTTGATCTCTGGCATCACTAGGTACAATTTGCAAAATTCCTTTCTGAAAGCCCAGAAAAATCCATTTCATTATGACTAATGCTGAATGAAACTGACCCATTGTCAATTTGTTATAAGTTTTCTCCTTATACTTCTATGAATTGATACATGAAAGAATGTCCAAAGATAAGAAATTTAAATTTTCTGTTTTATGGAGTATATGAGACATATGTTAATTCAACTTTTTTTTTATTTCTTAAAAGTGGGACACAACTTTGCACTCTAGACAAAAAATACCAGCATAGAACAATGTAAGTATAACCTAGAGAAATTCTGCATATTCTTGAATAAACTGCTAAAAGTTTGATTTTGAGGGAATAGTTATATATTGGAACATTTCACTGTAAGGCTCATCTATAAAACCTACAATTGTTTTGTGTAAGATATATTGATATGCAGTGCATATTCAGCATTCAAGAAATCAGGAAGCATTTATTACAAAGGAGCTATTTTTTTTCTCTCTCTCTGCATAAACTATTGAATCATTGTGGTTTTCAGAGGAAGCATCTCTCTGCTGATGTTTTATTAGAGGAATACATGAACAATCTGGACTGAAAAACACAGGAGCTGCCAAAGATTGCTTAGCAAGGAACCACTGCCATTCTGAGTCATAGTTTAGTGTTAACAGAGTATAGTCATGTGTAACATACCAGAAGATTTGGGGCTCAGAATTTTGAGGGTATTCTCATACAATGATTGTATCATTTATCCCAGTTCATTGATGTATCCAGTCTGTATACCA